GCATCCCAGGGAAGACTCTCAGTTACCATTCATGGTGAGAGGGCATCCCAGGGAAGACTCTCAGTTACCATTCATGGTGAGAGGACATCCCAGGGAAGACTCTCCAGTTACCATCTCCTTTATTTTCATCCAGTGAAACTTAATTGAACACAGCCACTCTAAGGTGGTGGAACTATTGATGAGAGGAATCAATCTATAGATTGTTTGTTTTAAATCATATCCTTTCTATCTTGAATTATGAAGAATAACATATATCCATGCCCTAACTCTGATATTTACTGTCATTGATTTGTTAATTTTATCACCCTGTCTTTATGTTTCTTGGCAGGTGAATGATGATTCATGTGGCAGTGATCCCTCTTCTTTCATTCTGATAGAGATTGGCCATAGTTATTGTTATCTGATTCATGCTATGGTGGAGGCTGTAGAAGGCAAACTGTGTCTCATTCATCTTTTTCTCAGAGCACAATCCTGTCCTTTCAACCTAATAAATGTGTTAAAGCATTATCAGACACATTCTCCAGACAGGTACAGTAATCATCCCTAAAACTTCGACCGTATCCTCGTCCATGGACTCTAGGTGGCACAACAGTCTCAGAAAAAAGCCTGTAGTATTTTTAATAGACACCAGACTCTTACAAACTACACAACCTTTCAGAAGGTTCATTCTTGTGTTTGTCAGCTCAGACATGAAAGCCAGGAGTTTTAGATTAAATTCACTACTTAAATGTTCATTTCATTCCCTTTTCATCTTGCAACCCAAAGGGTACGACTTACAGGATATTGATTAATACCCTTTGAGATTTTTTCCCACAGATTGAACTTCTCCACCTGTACCCGTAACTTCTTTTCCATAAAGGTCAAAATAATTCCCTTTGTTTTCAAATTGATAGCTTTATGGATTACAACAGACTGCTCATTCTGTTGGATCTCAGAATTGCTTTGCATTGTTCCTTCAGCACATCTTTCAGGCCAGGTGATATCCATTATAAGATGCTACTTTGTCACTTCTGCTTCTCTTGGTCATCATCTGTTTGTTTTTTTAAAACCTAATCTGGCAGGATGAGACATTTCTTGATTTATGACATTGGGGTGGTTAATTCTCATCTTGTTTGGTTCCTCAATTCAAACAAACTCTTCTCCAATGCTCAATGTGGTTTTCACAGGCAGTGATCTACTGTGGATCACCTGATTTGTCTAGAAATATCAGTCAGAGAATCCTTTCTCAAAGAGTATCCTTGTTTCCTTCTTTTTTACTTTGAGAAGGCTTATTAACACTGCAAAAAGGTTTAGTATTTTATGCATCCTTCAATGCTATGGGTTGCTTGCCCATTTATATTCATTACATTTTAAGCAGAGAGAGAGAGGTTATTCCTGGTCCATATTGTATGAGTACTCTTTCACAAGCTTGTATTACATCTGGGCTATGTCTTAAGTGTTACACTTCTTAGCATAAAGATCAACGCTATTACTAAGCATCTTTCTCCAATTCTTGCAAACAAACTACACTGGTGACTTTCAGATTGCCTGTCCAGTCATCAAATATATGACACATTGAGTAGTAGCTCCAAACTGCTATCAGTAAAGCAAGTGAACCACTGCAACTGGTGTTAAACTATCATTTAGAACTGCATGCATATGTTTCTTCCAGTAAGAGGATTTACACCCTGATTCTCTAAGCTATGTGTTGAAGGTACACAAATTCCTGTGTTGGTTGTTGAAAAATTTGTAGGACTTCTAACAAAAAGCTGACTTTTATGTTACACATAAAGTCATGTATACAAGTCAGCCTTGTGTCCCCTTCTACCTCTTGCGGAGTTGCTAAGTATTCTGTGCTCTGGAATTATCATGCCCTTCTTCAATTTAACTATAACTACAAATTTTTCTCTCCATTGAAACTATTGATCCCTGTGCATCACCAGGGACTATGGCTCAGCTAGGGGTCTCTCTCTCTCTCTTCACTTCTCCAACCCAGAGTTTGTACACAGGCTTTAGAACCTCCATATTCACCATTTGCATTTTTTTTTTCAGTACACTGCATAACTCCAATCACTGTCAAAACAACCCATCAAGCAATGTTTCAGTGGGCTGTACTTTCTGGTAATAGATGGTCTGTTATCTCTTCTTTTGTATTCAGGCAAAGTTGAGTGAGTTAGTTCTAACAATCTGGTGATCAGCTCATCTCCTAATAGTGTATTACCACCCCTCAATGCAATCTTTTGTTGAGTGTCCTGAAAAATTCCCTCCAATTTCAGATTCCAAATTCATGTGAAATCGGGTGACTGTACGAGTTCTGCTACGCCTTGCTTCAGTTCTGTAGATGTTTATGGGATCCACTCTAATAATTTCTATGTTTCCTACTTGGTTGTATGCAATATTATTAGCTCTAGATTATATATGAAGAAATTTTATATTAATTGTAACATCTCCACTGATTTGCTTAGTTCCTTTTCTCTGGTCAACTTTTCATCAGCTGACACTGGTCTTGTCAAATTGTTGCTTATTTGTTATTTTGATTTTATGACGTCTGTTTGTGATGGGCAACAGCTTAACAAGCTTCTCCATATCAAACCTACTGTTGATGATTGGCCACTTAGTTTGCACAGTGATTGGTTGGAGGAAGTTGTACTAAGAAGGACATTGGTCATAGTTTTTTGACTCATCTTTTTCTCCTCCAATGTGGGATTACTGGGACATTCAAATCACAATTGTCCACATCGTACATGCATGTCTTTGCTATGACCTTAAGTGGCATCATTATTTTAGACATTTTTCACACTTGATGCCCTTTTGGCATTGCAAGTGATGACAGTGTCCGTATTTAGTTAATTACAGACCATTTGCTTTTATTTTACTCCTTTTTAATTTTTCAACCTGTCTTCAGAAAAAAAAGAAGATGTCATACATTCTATTCACTTATCATTTTTTTAAATATTTATTTGATTGTTTGGAGCAGATAGCTTTTGCTGTTTTGTGCCAAAAAAAACCTAAAAGAATCTCTTATTATTATAATAATATTATTATATTATCTTATTATTATAATATATTATTATAATTATTATTATAAGTTCTAATCTGTTTTATGTTAGGTTTTATTAGAAAATTCCCAATAACAGTGGTAAACAAGTGCATGCAATTACCACTGTGTCCATACAGTATAGTGACATTAAGATTGGTGTTTTTTTTGTTAACATAAATTATGTATGGTTGTGCCCCATAATGGTGGTAAACAAGTTTGCATACTGATAACCACTGTGCTTATGAAAGTTTGGTAGTTAGTTTGTTTTACAGAAAAAAAAGTTGGTACCTCTTGTATCTTTTGACACAGATGATGAATCAAAGAGTCGAGAAGGAACGCCAACTAGAAAAACTGAGGTCAACTTAAATACAGTAGATGATCAAAAACAGAAGAACTTACCCAGGGAGCAGTGGACCCAAGTCTAGCAATGCTGGTTACTAGGAAATTTCTAAAGGGCATTTTAAATGTGTGGATATGGACTTCCACAATGAACAATACTTAATTTTTTGCATTCTTGTTGTTGCTTGTTTTCTTTGAGAGTTATTTGAACTCATGTTTTTATATTTCACTTATTTGTATAGACTTATTTATTTTTCATGTAATAAGATGTAGACTTGTTGGTATTGGGTATAAGATTTACAGTAAATTAAGTGATTGGTAACTTTGTCATATTTGATATTATTTATAACCCAGCCTGTTTAAACTGACTACTCTTCATATGTCATTATTTCTTACATTTTATTTTCATCAGAGTATATCTGAAAGCACATTTAATGCATTGACTTTCATTTGTAAATATTTCTAATACATGTTTCAGAATTTAGTAGGTTTTGGTTTTAGTTTTGCTATAGATTATAAAATGTGTTTGATGTGTAAGAAGAGTATAACTTCACAGTCATTTAAACTTGGCATGTAATCAGCAGTAAGAAACCTGCTGATAGATTTTGGTCACAAACAAGGCTAAAGACATTATTCAATTTTTGTTTATAATGTTAGTAGTATTTTAATTCATAGTATTTAATCATTAAATATAAATCACTAACTCTTACTTCACACCTGTTAGTGAAGAGTATACTTATAAAGTGACTTGTTACACTGTAAACTTTTTTATTTCATATTTGCTTATTTTTCATGCCAACAGGACCCTAATTCTAACGTAAGGTACACTGTGTATAAACAAATTTTCAAAATAACAAAAATATGAATACTGTGCTAAATGATTTTATTACCCATTGTCTGTTGATTTTTTGTCTCCCTGACTGTAGAGCTTGCCTTGGCTTATAGAATCACAAACAGTCACTTACAGTTAAGGACACATTGACCTAATAATCAAACAGCACTATAATATTAGTTTTGCGTATGTGTGTAACAGTAATTTTATTGTCTTGGGTCTCCTGTTCAGATTTTCAGCTGATTGAAATTTCATCAGAAAATACTATTTTTTCTTGTTCTCTTTGGTTGTTAAGTTTATATTTAAATATTAAATGGTTGATTTCCTCACGTTTTATAGACGTTGGATGTGCAGTATATTGGCCAGTGGTTACATCAGATCTTACTATGCAAGCCATATTATTAGGCTTAAGATTTTGTTACTTTTAAGATTGCTTAATAATTTCCTGAGTTTTAATTGTCAGCATATTTAATTTTTAGGTTCTTTATTAGATGAAAGCTTTAGAAGAAGCATACAAAGCCCAACTGGTGTAGTGTAATGATCACCAGTCTGAAATGGTTATTATAAGTATAACTTTTATAATAGTTTTGAAAATGTGCTGTTACAGCATCCTAATGTGGATGTTTTTCTTCTTTGGTAAAAAAGACATTACACATCTTCCATGGTATAACAGACAATGCACATCTGTAGTATAACAAGCATTACACATTTTCTGTTGTATAACAGACATTACACATCTTCCATGGTATAACAGGCATTGCACATCTGTTGTATAACAGACATTACACATCTTCCATGGTATAACAGACATTACACATCTTCCATGGTATAACAGACATTACACATCTTCCATGGTACAACAGACAATGCACATCTGTAGTATAACAAGCATTACACATCTCCTGTGGTATAACAGGCATTACACATTTTCTGTTGTATAACAGACATTACACATCTTCCATGGTATAACAAGCATTACACATCTCCTGTGGTATAACAGGCATTGCACATTTTCTGTTGTATAACAGACATTGTACAGCTTCCGTGGTATAACAGACATTGCACATTTTCTGTGTTATATCAGGCATTGCACATTTTCTGTTGTATAACAGACATTGCACATTTGTGGTATAAAAGACACTGGCTTTGAAAACAAACGTGTATTGTTAAATACCTTTTTTGCGAGTACAAAGATTATGCATAACCTGAGTTTTCCTCAGGGAGAAAGTGTTATTTTGTAAAGAGAGTTCAGTACTTTCTCAATATAATCAAGAGTGTATGATAACGAAAAAGCAGAAGGTGTAATGGTGTACATGTGTAACTAGATTTTTGAGTCTCATGACCAACTGTATCAACTACAGTAGATGTTTGTTTTTAATATTTTTTATAACTCTGTAGGTTTTGCTGGTCATTACCTGATGCATAAGGAAAAAATGTTAGCTGTTTTGATTGGTCACATGTTTAAGTGGAAGGGGGAATTGTGCATGGGATGCATCGTAAAACAAACACTTATGGTTTCAATATATGTGTATATATATATAAGCCTTTAACTTTGTTTATATATAAATATATATATATATATATAAACAAAGTTAATATATATATATAAAATATATCTTAACTGTGGGTCTACACTTCTGTGGTAGTTTTGCATAAAATACATCTCGGCTAAAATCTTAATTTTATATAAAATATATCTTAACTGTGGGTCTACACTTCTGTAGTAGTTTTGCATAAAATACATCTCGGCTAAAATCTTAACAGTAGGAATTTTATAGAAAATATATCTTAACTGGGGTCTATAGTTCTGTAGGATTTTTCTGAAAGGCTCATCTTGGGTTGGAATATTCATAGATTATAGAGTTTGATATGAAAACTGTATCTTCACCATGGTTTAGAACATTTTTTATAAAACATTTCACATTTTTTGTGGTATAAAAGACTGTGGGTGGGTTAATGTCACTTGCTTTTTAAAACCTTTTTTATTTTTCTACTTTTGTTTGGTGCTAGATATGTTAACCTGTTGCATAAAAGTAATCACAGATCCAATCATTTTTATGTACATATAGTGTATACTCAGTTCTACTTAGGGCGAGGAGAGTGGTTTAAAATCCTGTCATTAAACATTTTTAAAAATATATTTAACAAAACGATTATATTCGGATTAAGTAAAAATAAGACAGTGTATAATGTATTTCAGGGACTAGTGTAATCATAAAGTAAGACCTTTTATGTGCAAAGTAAATTTTGGATTAATATATATACAGAATTAATCTTTGTGTAAATTTATTACAAAGTAATGAAGCAAATTCGTTTTTCATGGAAATTTTGTAGTTTGTGTGCGTGTTCAAGTTGGTTCTTTTATACAAAATATTTTAAACATGGTACAGGATAAATTTAGATTTTACTTTTATCCTATGATCGTCATGGTTTCAAAAGTAAGAACTGAAGTGTGAATTGTTTCCTAATTGTTTTTATAATTTTTTCCTCCACATTGACATTAAACTTAATCAGTGGCGTGTTTATGACCGACTCACAGTAGGTGTTTCTGTCACAATATTTAGGCAGAATAGCAACAGATAGTACTTTCTTTATCCTTGTCGATTTATATGAGTAAACCAGTTCTGATTATTGGTGACTGTGCATGTACAGTATAGCACACTGTATTGTTTTGTGATTTTTTTTTTTTTTTACTTAATGAATCATTGTATCCATAGCTTTGAGTAGTGAGTGACATCAAGATATTTGTCTGTAACAAGTATGATAAATGACATAACTATTCTTATTCCTATTTAATTATCTGGTCTGTTTGTACAAATTGAATAATTTGACCTAAGATCAAATCAATTTGGTTCTTTGCTATATAAATTTTCCTTACTTCTACTGCTGATGTAACTATCAGTTATGTATTCAACTAGTGCCTTCTGTGATGGTTAACACTTTGTACAAATAAATTGTATTTTTCTATCTTGCTAGAACATAAAGTCTACTACGTTTTAAATTTCATCATTAATTACAGTTGATGTGAACCCGTTATTAACTGTTTAATTATCTCATTGTCCCTTAAAAAAATTGATTTTTTAACAAATATTTTTTTTTGTATATATAATAATTGAATCATTTGTATGAATCAAATAAAAACTGCCCTTCAGTGGTATGTCTGCGGACTTCTAATGCTAGAATCCGGGTTTCGATACTTGTGGTGGGCACAGCACAGATAGCTACTGTGTAGCTTTGTGCTCAACTATAAACACAAATAATAAACACCACCAGCTGTTTGACTTTTAAAAGGCCAGGCATGGCCTGATATGGTTAGGGCACTTAACTCGCAATCTGTGGGTTGTGGGTTCGAATCTTCATCACACCGAACATGCTTGCCCTTTCAGCTGTGGGGGCATAATAATGTGACAATTAATCCTGCTATTCATTGGTAAAAGAGTAGCCTGAGAGTTGGCTAAATTAGGGACGGCTAGTGTAGATAACCCTTGTGTAACTTTGTGCAAAATTCCATAGAAACCAAATATAAAACAGTAAAAGAACTTGTTGGTAAATATAACCACCTTTACAAATGTTACTTTTAAATTGGAGGAAATACCTTACATATATATCTTAATTCGTCCCTATGTGGCAGTAAACTCGTATCACTAGTAGATTGAGCATTGTGGGAAAGGAGTCAAGAGGGGCTTACCCTCTCAATTTTTTTTCTTAAATTAAAATCCAAATTAGTTGCTGAGCAATTGTTTTGGGCAAAATAAAAATAATTTTCACTTTTTAATATTTATCTTTGTTGAAGCAGCACAAGACCCTTTAGCAGTTGGTGTTTAGTTCTGAAACAGTTTTTTTTTTCAATGGGCCTGGCATGGCCAGGGTGCTAGACTCGCAATCTGTGGGTCGTAGGTTCGAATCCCCATCCCACCAAATATGCTCACCCTTTTAGCCATGGGGGTATTATAATGTAAGGGTGAATCCCACTATTCGTTGGTAAGGGAGTAGCCCAAGAGTTTGCAGTGGGTGGTGATGACTAT